TATATATATATATATATATATATATATATATATATTTATTTTTTATTCTTTTTCTTCAATGAAAAATTGAACAATTTGTACTTAAAACATTTGACATGTTTACTAGGTTGTGAATTTAATACATGGGTTTATGACATGTACAAATCTTTGTATTATATTTTATTTACATTTGACACCAAACAACAATGTTTTATTGTGGTTGTAGTTTAGAAACCTAATCACACCACATCCTGATTTCCTGCCCAGTTCTAGATCAACTAAAGCTCCAGGTATGAGGTTCTTTAGGTTCATGAACCCGACAGCCTGAAGGAAGCTCATGTTGTCTCAGGGAACGTGTCCAAGAAAGCAAAGGACAGTTATACTTTAAAATACTTGAAATGAGGAATCTTACAAGCTTGTAAAAGAACATGCATAAACTGGGTCCAGTTTGGTCCTTATAACAAAAATAAAGTTACAGTAAACCATAACTAGTATTTGTTCATTAAGACTTGGATCACATCCTTTTAGCAGAACAAACTAACGCATCTCCACTTTATCAAAAACAGGCTGAGTTTAATCAAATGAAGCAACAGCAATCTGAGGAAACAAAATGTCTGCGATGAAGAGAAGTCTTACTCTGAATGATGCTGAGTCCAAAAAGGTGACAGTCCTTCAGCCTGAGGAGGTCACACACCTGGACCAGAAGTTCCTGGCACAAAGTCTTCACCTTGGGGGGGAAGTTTCAGTTTTTTAAGAGCATCAACATTCAGACACAAAACACAACCAAAAGGAATCACATAAACTTTACCAGACTACCTCTGGCTTTATGCTCTTCATGCTGCTATGACGTCATACACAGGGTTTAGTTTCACCGGAGGAGTTCATAAAAGATCACCACTACCGATATTCACTGTTAAAACCATTCAAACACTTTTCTCTGCACGTCAGCCTTTTGTAAAATGTCTTTAGCTCCTCAAAGCTGCAAGAATCCCAACATGATGCTAAAAATATACATATATTCACTTCAGTTCGTTTTATTTATAAAGCGCCAAATCACAACAGAAGTCGTCTCAGGTCACTGAACAGAGACATTCACAGACATAAAAATTCAGTTAATAAAGTTATTTATCTGAACAGACAACAGATTAGCATCATAAGTCAGTGCGTGTCCAACGGACACGTAACCATGACAACAGACAGAGGTGAGGGGGTAAACATGCGCGCCTGTAAACAGGTGTCTGACCTGTGCGGGGAGGACACAGGTCAGTAGATAACAGCTGAAGTCAGAGTAGCTTAGCTCACGACAAGCAACGAGACGTCTCTTTAAAAAAACAACCAGCCATGTCCTTACTTGCAAATGGTGTAATTGTATAATGTATCCAGCAGAGGGTGCTACTTTAAAGTCATGGCCGTTCACTTAAGTTTCACTTTCAGTACAGCCGAAGCAGGGAGCAAAATTGTGTAGCAGATTTTGCTGATTAGAACATAGTTTTAAGTGATGTGTAAAATAAATCAACAAAAATAAATCCTCTTCAATCCTCCAACCCGCTTGTCATTAGTTACTTCTCAACAAAGATCAAATAAACTCTGCTAATCAGACCTTCAACATACGTGACTGTTTAAACGATGAACAGGAAGGTGTTTCTTTGTTTAATTTATATTTTTGTAACACACTTAAATTTACGGTGAATAGAGGAGGACAGAAAATGTGAACACACGTTGTGACGACTGGTTTTATGACCAGTGCTCCACTTGTAAACCTGCTGTGGGACAGCCTGGATCTGATTAGCTTAGCTTCATGGTTGCTAACAGCAGCGCTAAATACACAAGCCCCGCCCCACTCGTTGTTTATTCCTTGGGGGTGGACAAAGCTCAAATATTTTCAACCAATATATCAGTTATCAGCATTCGCCTGGCCCTCCCAGTATCATTATCGGTAATAGCCAAAATTTCCGTAACGATTGAATTCTATTAAAAACTGCAGAACAGCGAAACAGCAGTTTGTTTATATCTGAACATTGATTTCATGTAGAAAACAATCCGTCTACTCACATTGACGATGATATCGAGCGTGTCATCATTGGGCAGAAAGACACAGACGCAGCGGCGGTCCTGCATGGTTTTGTTGTTGTGGAAGTTCAGTTTGTTCATGTTTCTGTGGCCGAGACACCACAGGCCTTTAATGCCTGCCGCCGAGGTTTCTGGGCCCTGCGACGACCCACCTCCACCCCCGCAGGCACCACCGTCCAGTCTCTGTGGTCGTGCTTCAGCTGCAGCCCAGAACAGACACCAGTGTGGGCTCAGCAGGCCAGGCAGCGCTCAGAAGAGCGTGCATGGAGGCCCGAGTTGCAAACACTGTGGAGACACAGGACAAGGATTTAGAATGGAGCAGCCTGCATCCAAAGTAAAACTCTTTTTAACAGAACTCTAAACTTGTTTCTAAACTTTAAGTTTATTTATCCACTATTGTAGAAATAATATAAAACAGCACATGCATCATTTCTGGCAACAAAGTGAAGGAGTTGTGGTCCTCGTGAGAGGTACGATACGTTTGCTCCAAACCACCAGCAGTTCCCCGACGTCCCGTCACTCAGGGGTTTGAACAGTGAACGTTTGTAGCTTTGGACTCGAGTGTTTTTCTGGACTGGAATGGAACAGGGAATGTAAGTAAACCTAAATGTTTTTGAAGCAAGATATTCCAGTGGGGAGGAGTTACACTGTGGAGAAGAACAGAGGGAGGTTTTTGTTTTCAGTGCAGAGGTCCTGGAGAGCGGAGGGAGCCATTTTATCCACCAACTGGTGCAGTGGTGGAGCCAGGGGGTGGCCAACGGTGGCCTTGGCCACTATGGATTAATCATCAGCCACCCCAAAAAACTATACTTTTTTGTAATATAAAAACTAGAAAGCATAGTTTCCTCAACTGATCGGGGTGGCCAGTTTACATACATATACGGTGGCATCCATCTTGGATTTTGATGGGGCAACCCAACTTTCCAATGGAAACTTTACTATGCTCAGATGCAGCCACACACCAAAATGGAAGCTGGTACTTCACTTATTTTTGAAGTTATTGTGATGAAAACATTCGGGGATGGACGGAGGTATTTCCAGTTACGCCCCTTCGCTCCGTGACGAGGTACAAACATCACGAGATGCTCACAGGCGAGCTATGAACGTTCAAAAAGTTGCTGTGTTTGGACGCTGTAACACTATCAGACACCAAAAAACCAAGCCAGGCGTGTATCGTGTGCTCGTAACAAACGCACACACTTCCAGCCACGCAGCTGCCCTGTCAGCAGCGAGGTACAGCCAGGTCGAGCCGAGCTCATGCGAGACCTTCAACGGTTCTGGAACGTCTCAGTCCAGACTAAAGAATGATAAAGAACAATCAGTTGAGATGATCGCCTCTTCCTGCAGACACACGCTCACCTTGAAGACGTGTTGCCAGTGAAAACAGAGAGGATGATACTCAGCAGGGTCACGTTACACGGGGAAAAACAAAAGCCGGTTTGTTGAAGAAATGCACGTGACCTTCCTCGTCTTAGTTTAGACTCAGATCATCTTTGGATGAGAAGAAACTCATTTGGTCAAACCTTGTAATTAAATGACGTCATGCAGAACTTCATGCTGTAATGCAGGATCTGTTGGTTTGTTCTGAGATTCAGTTGAACTTGTCCAATGATTCATGAGATATTTGCAGAAATATTAACGGCTTCAGTGATAAAACATGGTTCTAGAAGATGGTGCCACTTCAGAGGTACTTCTACTCAATTCTGTAGCCACTGGGCTCTGCACTGCACCCATGTAGAATATAAAAAACATTAAGTTAATTAATAAAAAACACTTAAGTCACACATTGTTACTTTGAAAATGTGAAACAATGGCTCTTAGAAACTTTAATTTGAACTTTAACCAAAAGCAAAGCTGTGAAAACCATAAAAGATGTTCGTCTGCAGAACGGGGCTTCAGCTGCAAAGTCCGTTTTTTTAATGACCGACGAGGAACTGAACTGAACGCTGCTTCGTTTCTGCAGAGACGAGGAGCATTGTGGGCGATGCGGTCATAAATCCTCGCACTGCTGACGTGCACCATCAGTTCTCATTAAGGCTGCTCAGTGGATGCACAGCATGGCAGGCACGCAGCCGCTCAGGAGGCTGCTGCTGCTGCTGACCTGCACTGAACGCACCACAAACATCTGAACGCTGGGACGAAAGCACACACAGCATGAACACAGACAGGCTCTCCTGCTCTCAGGCCACGCCCCGTTTGTCCGACAGCTAGGCTGACGGCAAGTAAAGCTCCTCCCCTCACTGCAAACACATCAAGATCAAACCAGCTGCTTTCTATTTAGGAGAAGTGTACTTAAATTTAACAAATGTTTATCATTATAAATACTCTTCAAAGCAAGACATGTTTAAACTGATATAAAATAACACCTGCCCTGATCCTCGCAGCACGGTGGATCAGTGGTTAGCACTGGTGCCTCACAGCAACTCCAGTTTCCTCCCACAGTCCAAAAACACATTTGTTTAGACGGTCTGTGATCTCAGTGGCATCTGGTTAATTAAGGTCAATAATAATAATAATTAATGTAGAACATCATAGAATGTTTATTAGAAGCAGATTAATCAACTCCCATTAAAAATGCAGAGCAAATATGCGCTTCAGTAATCAAACATAATTTAGTTTTAGTACAACTTTATTAAATTTATTATAAGATTTATTTTTTATTTCATTCATTTACAGTTTAAAATATATATGTCACAAGTTGACATAAAACAAAAGTTCTGAATGAAAAGGAGTCGTTTTGAAGAAAACAAAATGTCTATCCCTTTTTGAATTATTACTGTATTTTAATACTGTAATAATTTAAAAGGCCAGAATGATGCAATAACTAGATGATAAAAGAAATTAAAACATTCAAAATATCCTGACTCGTGCTCAATAATCCAGGTAAAATAATCCAACAAAGTTGAGTCGGGTCCTCTGGATGGATTCTGTTTGTTGAAACGTTTCGTTTTCATCCAAAGGACTTCTTCAGTCTGAGGAGCTGCAACAAACTCAGTCTTATAAAAAGCACCTTCACTCAGTTTGATGGTGCTCAGATGGCAGTTATTAACATTATTATTATTAATATTAAAGTTATTATGTAAAATGATCAATAACAGCGTACTGATCAGAATGAAAGCTTCCTGTCCCTCAGATGTTTATTTTGGACACTTAAAAGTTCTCCTCCACTCAGCAGCTTGATCAAACTGAAGAACAAGTTTTTACGGGACAGCCGTAGAGCTGTCGCTTCACAGCGAGAAGGTCTCAGGTTCACCTCCACACTTTGCTGAGTTGAGGCTTCGGGACGAGACTCACCAAACCTCCAGGACGAGAGAAGCTCGTGCGTTTCAGGACCAAACGTTCATATTTTGGACAGAGGTGGTTTGAGATGGGGTGAAGGAAGAGCTTAACGTCAAACAAGATCCTAATGACTCTCAGTTGTGAGGGGCGAGCAGTTTAATGTGCACGTGACTCCAGGCTCATACTGTTAAACGCTGATAAATGAAAAATACACATTGATGAAGAAAGTGAAGAAACTGGCGCCGTCTATCGTGACCCGCCTGATTTCTAAAGTCCGTTATCTGCATGGACCATACAAAGACATATCCGTTGACTTTAGCAGCAAGTAAACTTATTTTATGTAGTCACAAGTAGACGGAGTGGAGCTTCACACATCAAGTTCCCACTAATGATCTACAGAATCAGGTTAAACTGCACTGACAGCGTCACTGCAGCGCTGAACGGAGGGAGCAGACGCTCACAACCTGTGATCATTACCGATGGACTCCGAGGTTCTGAGTCACGTCTAGACTCCACAAGAAGCATCAGCGCAGAAGGAAAGTCCAGACGCTCCGTCACTATCTGATGGGGACAGTGGTCTGACTTCAAGTTAAAGTGAATTTAAAGCAAAAGTCCGATACAAAAGGTCCTGTCGGTCAAAAGCAACGTCAGCGTGGCCCCGGGCGTGACACCACCAGCTCGTAGTAAAATCAGAGATGACTTTGGTCACAGCTTCACCGCTCCTCCTCGCTCGTTCCCTCCGCTGACGTCAGAGTCCGTCTCCAACAGCTGACGAGCTCAAGATGCACAGAACTGTGAGGATGAAGAGGCCCACGGATGAGACCGTCACCACACGATGTAGCGTCACCTTCAGGTACGGAGCGTCACAGCTAAAGAAGAAGAACGCAGCTAAAGGAGACGGCAGGAGGGGGAGATGGAGCCGGGCAGCACTCGGAGCCGAGGCATGAAAACAAAACTGCTGCAGTCAGGAGAATTCCTCCAACATCTGCTTCTCATTCCAACAAGGGCGCCCTTTGATTCCTGACGCACACAACACGCCACCACCTCCACGTGCACACAATCACAAAACATGGAGCGCAACATGCACGCCGTAATCCCTCATCTGGAGCTAAAAGTCTGTAACTCGTCTTCTTCATTCTTTATCCACTGGGACGGTTTGAAATACATTTTACAGGAAAATTAAAGAATAAAATGAATTCCTACATCTTAGAAAAAAACATTTCTACTGGCGTTCGTTTAGAAAATATTATTTTCATTCAACTCCAATGAAATTCTATTTCACCTTCTTTAATGCAGGGATGTCCAAAGTGTGGCCCGAGGGCCATTTGCGGCCCTTGGAGTGATTTGATTCGGTCCACGACCGCAATTAAAGAATGGTATAATTTGGACCCACAGGTTCAAGAGGGGCAGCACGGTGGCGCAACTGGTAGAGCTGCTGCCTCTCAGCGAGCAGGTCCTTGGTTCAAACCCCGGTCCAGGGGCCTTTCTGGGTGGAGTTTGCATGTTCTCTCCGTGCATGCGTGGGTTTTCTCCAGGTACTCCAGTTTAGCTCCCAAAGACCAAAAACATGCATGTTAGGCTGATTGGTAACTCTAAATTGTCCCTAGGTGAGAGAGAGAGAGTGAATGGTTGTTTGTCTCGTTTGTCTCTATGTGTCCCTGTGATGGACTTGCGACCCGTCCAGGGTGTACCCCGCCCTTCGCACAGTGATTGCTGGACATGGGCACCGGCGACCCCCAGCTTCGCAGGTGACTAATGCTAATAAATAACATTTAACACTTTTCATTTAATATAAGTCAAAGTGCTATGTATATCATATGGCTGTTACTGAATATATGTCACCAGCTCTTACAAATGTTACGCAACTTTTGTAGCAAATAAACCTAAATACGAGAGATACGTTCTGACAAAGGAACGTA